AGGGAGGCCTTCGGCACCAGAAACTGGAGGATCACAAGCATGCACCCAACCTGGGCAACTCGGTGACTCATCAAGACCCTGTTTCAACTAAACAGAACACAGAAGGGCTGGGGCCATAGCTCAGTATGAAGGTCCCCAGTCCAGTCTCCAGGACCACAAAAAAAAAGGGGGGGGGGTGAGGGGGAGAAGTATTGAATGTGAATGGGGCACGAGAAGGGACCCAGGGTACCACCAGGTGCCCAGGTTCAGCAGCTGGGAATGAAGATGCCACTGCCTGAGCCAGGTTGGCTGCAGCCAGGGACCCAAGTAGACACAGCTGGGAATCAACCAGGAATCAGCCGCCTGGGTGAGAGGCCCAAGAGCGCGCGGTCCATGAGGCCAGGCTAAGCCCAATGCTGCCCAGGAGTTGGCCAGGGGACAAGGTGGGCAGAAGAGGTGGCAGCTTTGTGGGACACAGAGGGGCACACTCAGGCCTAGCCTTGGGCTGGAACCACGGAACAGCCATTGTGAAAGCCATGCCCCTTTGCGGGCATTATCCCAAGTTGGTCTTGTCATCTGCCACCTAGCGCCTGGGGGGGGGGTGCCCTTCCTGTCTCCCAGCCGTGCTCTTGGCCACTGTCCTGGGGCCTTGGCAATTGTCTGGAATTTGTCCCTGGGGAAGAAAGACCACAGAGATTTCTGGCCTGTCACTCCAGGAAGCAGACCAGCTGTTCCTCCAGCCCTGATCACAAGGAAAAGCAGAAATAATGGTGGTGGCTCCAGTCCCTGCGCTGTGGGGTCTCTTGTTGGACAGCAAGAGAGGACTGAAATAGGCCCCACCTTTCACCCATCACCTGTGAAGCCCTCTACCGGTGTCAACTTGCTAACATCTCACATCAGCTTTATTAGAGAAGGATTTTTAGTTTATTTTTTGTCATTGAAGAAAGTCTCACTGTGTAGTACAGGCTGGCCTTGAACTATGTAGCCCTGAAATTTAGGGCAATCCTCCTGCTTCAGCCTCCCCAGTGCTGGGATCCCAGATGTGTGCCACCAATGCTGGCATAGCCAGCAGAGTCTTGCTGCTTTACCCTTACTCCTTTTTTTTTTTTTTTTTTTTTGTATTTTAGGGAAGGGTCTCCAGGGTGTTCAGGGTCTCACTGCTACATCGGACTCAGTGATCCGCCTGTTTACAGCCTCCCAAGAGCTGGGATTACAGGTGTGCGCCACCACGCCCAGTCTCAACTGCCATCTCAGCATGCCCCAGGTGCGGGGCTGGCACAGCAGGCCCGGGATCAAACCCCTGACCCCTGCGCCTGCTTGCAGGTGCTTTAATCCGCTGAGCTATTTGGCCAGCCCTACTGTCAGTACTTTTCCACTCCCAGCCCTGCTGGTTCCTGTCCCTTTGTGTCCAATCATGATCCGGCAGGAGCCTTTCTTCCTGAGGGCTAACCCCGCAGGTGGAAGACATCTTCACCTGCACAACTGGATCTGCTGGCCCCCCCCGCCCCCCATCCCCAGCACTGACCTATGGGAAAGCTGGGAAGCTGGCTTTTCCTCCTCCATCACAGTGATCACAGGCTCCCCAGGGACACTGCAGCCAGCAGTTGCCAGCTCAGCCTGGTACAACCAGTCTCTTTCAGGGCATTTGCTGCCAGAGTAGGGTTTTTTTTGTTTTCTTTTTTGGTACTGGGAATTGAACTCGGTACCTTGTGCTTGCCAGGCAGGTGCTGTGCTGCTGAGCTATTGTCCCAGCTGTCAGAGCCTCTTGGCCAAAGCTGCTCCCTATGCTCTGCCACCCTCTAGTTCCAGCATTGTCAAAAATTCCCATTAGAAGGCGGGGGAGATAGCTCAGTAGAATAAATACTTGTCTGGCAAGTGCAAGGCCCTGAGTTCAATCCCCGGTACTGGAAAAAAAAAAAAAAAAAAAAATCCCATTAGCCTGGGTATAGTGGTGCATGTTTGTATAATCTTAGGACTTGGATGGCTGAGGCAAGAGGGTCACCATGGGTTCAAGGCCAGCCTAGGCTACTTTGGGAGATCCTACTGCAAAAAAGAAAAAAAAAAAGTCTTTGAGAAAGGGGCAGGGCTGATATAGTCCCGAGAGCACAACCCCAGGACCTACCTTGACACACCCAGACATGTGCTTTACTAATCTCCTTGGCATCCCCAAAGCCACCCAAGTTAATCAAAGTTAAGCATTATACAGTACCTAGGACACTGTGTACAGTTTGTGCCAGAGAATGGTAGCTATTGTTCCCTTTCCGACTGCGTGACACCATTGTCAAGTAGTTGCCATTATCTGTCACCTGCTGGCTTTAGGATTAATGAAACTGACACCACAAAGATTTGCGGTAGAGTGAACAAGTACCTTCCCTCGCTTTTTTTTTTTTTTTTCAGTACTGGGGATTGAACCCAGGTTTTTGCACTGAGCTACAGTGCTACAGTTTCTAGTTATTTTTTTTTTTTTCTAGTTATTATTTTGAGACTGAGTCTCACTAAAGCACTAAGTTGCCCACCCTGAGCTCAAACTCACAATCCTCCAGCCTCAGCCTCCCCTGTGCTGGGTTTACCGTTGTGTGCCTCCACCCGGTTCCTAGGCAAATTACTCTCTCTGATCTTGCAAATGAGAACATTAGAATCACCTTCTTCCAGGGGCTGTAACTGGGCCCAGCAGGACTGAGGTCCCTCCGGAAGGAAGCCCATTCTGGCCTCAACGCTATCTCTGCCCTTAGGACCTCTCACCTGCTTGGCAGGATTCCAGTGGTCAACCTTCTTTGGAGTAGGACCTGGACTCCCGCTGAGCTGGTCTTGTTGTTTGGGAGCCAGAGTTCTTAGTCTTTAGGAAGGTGGGAGCAGTCTCAGAGCTGGTTTAAACTGCAGTGTTTTTTGTTTTTTTCCCCACAAGAACAGCCTTGTCAAAAACTGCTGTTTTTTTTTTTAAAGCTTTTATTTATTTGCTACAGGGTGGACCTGAACTCAAGACCTTGCACTTGCCAGGCGGGTGCTGTGCTGCTAGCCATAGCCCCAGCTTTTTAAAATTTTTTTATTTTTATTTTTTGCGGAACTGGGGATTGAACTCAGGCCCTTGTGCTTGCCAGGGAAGCGCTTATACCCCTGAGCCATCTCCCCAGCCCCTATCCCCAGCTTTTTGAGACGGGGTCTCACCATACATTCCCAGCTGGCCTTGTACCCACTACATAGCCCACTGCGTAGCTGCACCCTTCTGCCTCCACCTCCGGGGTGCTGGGGTCCGGTGTACACCACCATGTGTACACAGGAGTACACATGTACACACCATGTGTACCCCAGGTCCTGTGTACACGCAGTTTAAGCTGAACAGCCTTACAGCTAGCTCTCCCTCCGAGAGTCTATTCCAGGTTTTGGGTTAGACCTGGGGTTGATAAATCTTCCCCAGAGCCTGAAACCATCTCCTAACCAAGAAATAGGCTTTTCTGTACAAAAGGCAGAAAATAAATACTTCTGGCTTTGTGGGCCAGGTGCTGCTGCTACAACTATGCAACTCTGCTATTACAGCACAAAAATAGCCCGAGCATCGGTGAATGGGTGTGCCTGTCTTCCAATAAAACTTTATTTACAAAAGTCAGCAGTGGGGGCTGGGCATGCAGCTCAGCAGCACAGTGCCTGCTTGGCAAGTGCGAGGTCATGAGGTGATTCCTAGTACCAAAAAAATAAAACCAAAACCAACCTCCCCTCCAAAAAAACAAAACAAAGCAAAACAAAATGAAAACTAGGCAGTGGGCCAGACTTAACTTGAATTTACAGGCTTTACTCTCTTTTATATATAACCAATGAAGACACAGAGAAACCAGTGTAAAAAAAAAGTGACTTTTTTAATTTAAAATTATAACCTAGAAAGAAAGAGTCAGTTTGGGCATCCAGGCTTCTTCTCTGTACCCAAATGAAGCAGACACAATATTGGCTCAGATTTGGCTCAACCCTAAAGAAAAACCTAACCAAGCTGCAAATCCTTCAGGAGTCCCCGTAGGTCCCTTGCTGTGGCCATTGGGCTGCACAGAGCCAGGTGACTGAGCTGGCAGGGACAGCTCCACCACCCAACTCCCGAGCTAGGCCCAGTCTGCTCTGCCACCTGTAGTTGGCACTGCACACAGGCCTGCACAGAGAAGGGGACAGTAGGGGGCCATCTCCCGCGATCACAATGGTGGTGCTGAGCAGTGCTATACAGACCTGCCCAAGCTGGCAGCACCGCCTGTGAAAGGGACAAGCACCATCTGGGTCAAACCCTAGGGATATCGCAGAGAAGCGGGGGCAGAACGGTACCTCCTGCAGCAGGCTGCGCGCCGGTCTTCTGCAGCATGAGGGGCCAAAGGTCTCATTTCTCAGTTTAGCTTCATCTCTCCTACTTCATACATTCAAGGTTAAAAGTGGCTTAATCGCTCAGCCAATCAGAGGGGCCCTGACTGATGGGCAAGGGAGAAGAGTCCAGGGTGCGGTGCGAACAGGGTTGCCTTCTTTTTGTTTCTGAGGCAAGGTCTTGCTGTGTGTATCGTTCTGAGTGGCTTGGAGCTTATTATGCCTCTTGCCTTATCCTCCTGTGTGCTGGGATACGGGTGGGCTGAAGGCTTTTTTCTGCACTGAATTTGGAAATGGATTTAGCAGAGAAGAAAGGAAGAAGGGCCTGTGCACAGAGCTGCCCTCCTTGGACTTCCAACCGGGGATTCAACAGAGAATTAAAATGACTAGAAAAAGCAACAGTCACCTCAAACCCACTGCAATGGGTGGGGATGACAAGACTACGGATTTGCTTTCTCTAGAACAGAAGGCTGGCCTGAGCCCAGGACTCTGGGGCCAGAGACGAAGTGGAAGAGTAGAGAGTGCCAACCCAGGCCCTCTGCACACAGCGTCCTGAGCCGGGCTGCAAGTGGTGTTTGGGGGCACTGCAGAGGCCCCACACCGTGCCTGGGACAGGGACTGATGGGCACAGGAAGAGGGACAGTCCCCTCAGACTGAGGCACAGCGGGAAGGAGACAGGCTGGGCTTTCTTTTTTTCTTCTGAGCTCAGCTATGCTGTCCGGGGTGAGAGGAAGATGTTTATGGCTCTCCTGCTGACACCAGGGCCTCTGTCACCATCTCACTTAACAGCCTGGTACTGGACAGGGCCCAGGTAAGAGCCAGTGTTTCCTTGCAGAGTTTTCCTGTATGGAATCGGAATCTGCGCCATGTCCTGCCCTGGCTCATGGCTACCTGTGTCTCATCACCAACTCAGTGACTCCCAGCTACCAATCTCCCGGGTCTTGGCAAGCAGCTCCCGAACTGGGAGGAAGTGGGTTTGGATCCCAGGAGCCCAACAAGTTTCTCTTCCCAGGTTCCTTTCTCAGAACTGTGGAGCCCAAAGTGGGAGCTGCCCATGGGCCCAGCCTGCGGCCAATCCCAGAAGCCACTTGCGAGACCACAGAGGGTTCATCCAATCACAGCAGAAGGCTGGGACCCCTGTCTTCACTGGATGCCACTGTCAGACTGCCCGTTCTGAGCCACCTGTCCCGCCTGTCCCGGGTCAGAGGCAGGGGTTGGGGTGGGCATGTTGCTTTGCAGATAGCGGCGGAAATCTTTGATCATGGGCCGGAGGACCTGGATGAGCACACTCAGGGCTGCCTGGGTGCCCTCCATGGCCTGGGCCTGGCGCTCCTGAGCACAAGCCTGCACCTCCTGTGAGCGGCGGATCATCTGCAGCAGGTCGTTCTGCTGCTCCAGGTGCTGGGCAATCTCCTTCACGTGCAGGTTGGTGACCCGCTGCTCCTGGATCAGTTTGGCTGAGTTGAGGGCAATGCGGCTCTTGAGCGCCTGTGGCTTGACGGATGTGTCGCCGCTGTGTTGGGCCACCATCTCCACAGGGGCTTCAGCTGGCTGAGGAGGCGGGGGCTCCGCAGTGCAGTACTCCACCACACCCTCCTCGAGGGCATGGTAGGTGGTTTCCGAGGGGACTGCAGGGAAGAAAGAGTCAAGGCATCACCTGGGAGGAACAAAGGCTCCACGTGGGCTGGGGCGTGGTTATTAAGCCCTAGAGGGAGACAAAAGGGAATTCAGGCCCCCCTGGCTTTATAGCGACTCAAAGATAAATCTGGGCATCCAGAGGTAGCTCTGGTCTGGTGAAAACAAAGATGCTAATAATAATAATAATAGCGAGAACCTGCCTTCCTAAAAATGTACTAGCAAATAATTTTATTTTATTTTATTTTATTTTTTTTTTTTGGTGGAACCGGGGATTGAACTCAGATCCTTGCATTTGCCAGTCAAGCACTTGTCCTACTGAGCCGTCTCCCCGGCCCCTAGCAAATAATTTTAAAGCATCTACGATGGCCCAGGCACTGTGAGCTCATCAAACACTCAATGACAAGGGGCAGATACTGTCATCTTCATTTGCAAAGATGAATAACCCAGAAACCGAGAGTGGCTTGACTAAGGTCACATGGCTAACTCAGCAAACCCAGGTCTTCCAGCACTCTGCTGGAATATGTCTAGCTGCTGAAGGTGCCTCAGAAGCAGGGTAAAAGCCAGCAGTAGGCAGCCTGGGGTATTATATTACACTGCTGTTTGCAGCTGGACATGTGGACTGTGGACTTTTTTTTTTTTTTTGGTGTTACTGGGGATTGAACTTCGGACCCTGCGCTGCTAGGCATGTGCGTATGCCACTGAGCTGTCAAGCCAGTCTAAGTCAACCTCTTTTGATGCTCTCTTGACTTCCAAATCTCCTGAGGCCAAGCAGAAAAGCAGCTGGCAGCAGGGAACAGCAGCTAAACTACCCAGGAAGTGTCTCCCTCACTCTGATCACCTCAGTCCCTGGGATATTTCAATGTCCTTCCTGTTCCAGAACAGCATCTGATTTGGACTGATGTTCATCCCTTTGTCCCACTTCAACACATATAACTGAGAAATACGGCATGGTGGAGGTTGGAGGGGCTGGCGCTCACATATACTGATTACTTCAAATCCCACTGAGAAATACTAGTTGAAACCACACTTGGTGACACACGCCTATAATCCCAGCACTCAGGGGGTGAGGCAGGAGGATCGTCATGAGTTTGAGGCCAGTATGGCCTACAAAGTGAGTTCAAGGCCAGCCTGAATTCCACAGCAAGACCCTTTCTCAAAAAACTGACAAACGGGCTAAAGATTCAGCTCAGCAGTAGAATGCTTGCCTAGCAAGCTGGAAGCCCTGGGTTTAGTTCTTAGCACCAAAAACAAAACAAAACAAACAAAAAATAAACTTCATTTAAAAAATAAACAAAAACCCAAACAACAACCCCCAAACAAAAATGAAACCAACTCCCCGCAAAACTAAAAGAGAAATCTTGGCTGACAGTTCACAGCCTATCACAAGTAGTGTACAGAGGTACAAACCACTGTCTTAGATACAAAACCCAATCCAAGTTAGTACCATATCATTCATAGTTGAGAACTTTTGAAGGGATCTTAGATGCGCTGTGTGGGTCTTTATGTACATGGGAGAGGTCAGTGTTCTCCATTGTTTAATGCCAATGTTGAGTGTGTGTCCCCACCTCCCCAGGGAGCCTCTTCCTCTTAGGAGTCTTGGGTTTTCCCACTTAAGAGTGAAACTATAAATGTTCTTTTCTGCTCCTGTGCGATATAATGGGCCTATATTTTAAATGCCTTGGCAGTTCCAATGCCCAGCACAGTTTGGCACGGAGTAAGTGGTCACATTTAAGGAGTAAGTGAATTCATAGATCAGCAGTAGGAACCAGGAACTGGTGACTGTTAATGATATCTCACCTGGGCAGTATTATTTTCATCTATTCAACAAGCATATCCTGGGTTCCTATCATGCGCCAGGTGCTGGGATAAGTCCCGCAGGCCTATGGCCACAGCCAAGGACCACATAGTTCAGCAAGTGGCAGGATTCATGAATGTAAATAGGGGCAACACACCCAGTATGAGAGAAGGCCAGACCACATGCTGAAAAGTCCCTAAGGGAACAAGATCACTTGGGCCAGGGCAAATTCCCCATCTGACTTTCTGACCTTTGGCAGCTACGGTCCCCAGGGCACCCCAGCGCTGGCTATGCATGCGGATCTGGGCTTGGGAAGTCACTCACTCTGTGTCAGGGTGACCGTGGCTGCGGCTGTAGTGGCCGCAGGTCCAAGGGCCACGGGGTGGATCTCTGTGGTAGTGGGCAGACTGATGATGGTGGCCTCACCCAGCAGGTTGCAGATGCGTTGCTGCATGGGGGTCAGCAGGACGGGGGCTACCGCCGGACCACCTCCGCCACTGCTACCACCTGTCCCAGCCCCAGCAGCTCCGTCCTCCTCCGTGGAGCCTGGGGCCTCGCCACCCTCCACGGCGGCCCGTACTTGGGCAACCTTGCGACGGACCTCGGTCTTGAGGTCAGACCACTTCTTCTTGACCTCAGGTAGTTCCCTGCGGCATGTTGCCACGGCGTTGACCCTTCGCAGGATGCCGTGCCAAGCCGCACTCTTGGCGGCCAGAGGGACGCCAGCGTTGAAATGGTTCACCAGCAGGTGCTTCTTCAGCTCCAGTTCCTCCACGATGATCTCCACCTCCCGCTCCGAGAAGTTCATCTTCCTCTTTTTGGCTGGGACAGCCATAGCCTCTTTTCTTTCCTAGTATTAAAGAAATTATAATGCGCCAAACCACTAAATTTCCCTTCTTGTCTTACCCAGCATCGACACTCACACCACCCCCTACAGGGGATAGGCCTGGCTTGCTCAAAGCCAAGCACCAGGCCTTAGGTAACCCCCCTTGCTACGCAAAGTGCGTAGGGCCCAGCCTCAACCCGCCCGGCCGCGGCCAGCCAGCTGCGTAATGGCTTCCTGAATCTGCCTCTTCCGCCGGGGTCTGCGGAGATCCGCCTACCTTTCTTCTTCCCGCCCCTCAAATCTTTCCAGGGGAAATCTGCTCACCTGGTTGGTCGCAACTCAAGATATACTGTCGATCATTGGCTATTCCAGTCTGTCGCTCAGCTAAAAGGCACGCCTACTCACCGGACATAGCCTGATCATTGGTCTAAGTATGTGTCTGTCGCTTCAGGCGCTCCGCCCACCTCGCCTTTATTTCCTTCTATTGGAAAGTCGTCCTGTCGTTCAATTATCAGTGTTAGGACTAGTTAGGCCGTTAAACTCAGCTATTTTATTGGTGATTTCGAGAGTTAGAGTATTAAAATTCGGCCTCCCGAGGGTACTTAGTTCTTTCCGCCTGGACCCGTTGGCCAATTAAGTTCTAATTCCATTCAAAGGCGCAAAATTTGCTTTGTAACTTCAGTTCACAATTGCTGTCTCGTAAATCCTATTTCCCAGGGCAGATTACGATCTCTCCGTACTCGGTCGCTTCTCCCGCGCTTACAATTCCGCGGTCTAAAGTGCGTTTCTCAATGGAAGTTGGACAGTGGGCCCTCCCCCAGCCAATCTCTTTGCCTATCGCTGAGCGATTCCCTCTCCCGCACGGCTCAGCCAATCCCTTCCTCTCTCAGTTTGAATCGGGGCCCTTTGCTGAGCAAGATGGCCCCGCCCCCTCATTGATACCGGTAATCATTTCACAGGCTCCGCCCATACCGCGCCCTTCCCCAGTTGCGGTCATGACATATGATTGGCCGGAGAGTCTCCTGGGGGCGTGGCCAGCAAGAGGGAGCGAGCCTGGGGCGGAGTTCCCGGAAGCAGCCCCTCCCGCCAGCTTGCCGGCGTCTAGCTGCCCGCGCTGGCAGTCCTACGACATCCGCGCGTTTCCACGTTGTCCCAGTCGCCTCGCCGACCCTGCCCCGCGCCCGACGCCCCTGCCTCGCGCCCGATGGTGAGCAGTGTGTTGTGCCGCTGCGTGGCTTCCCCGCCGCCGGACGCCGCCACCGCCGCCTCGTCGTCCGCCGCGTCGCCGGCGTCCGTGGGGGACCCGTGCGGCGGCGCCGTCTGCGGGGGACCGGACCACCAGCTGCGCCTGTGGACCCTCTTCCAGGCTCTCGACGTCAACCGCGACGGTGGCCTGTGTGTCAACGACTTGGCCGTGGGGCTACGGCGACTGGGACTGCACCGCACCGAGGGCGAGCTTCGGGTAGGCAGCGTGCGTCGTCTGCGCGGGCCGGGAGGGAGTCCCCGAAGTCCGGGTGACAGGTCCGGATGTCCTGGTTTCTCGGGAGCCACTGGGGGGTTGGCAGGTCTGGCGGAACGGCCTCTGGTGTTAAAGTGCCCCGACTGACAGATGCACACCCTACTCATGGCCGGGTGAGAGTGAGGCTTCTCTGGGAGAGAACCTCATCTTGGGCAGCCTCAAGGACTTCTGGTGGGTGGAAACCCTTTTCCTGCTCGGGTTTTCCTTCCCCTAAGGTGGAAGGACTAGGCAGAGGGGTTGCCTGTGCTACCGCCTAACCTCAAGGGCAAACTGGACCTCCCTCCTTGACAGGTTCCTGCCCCCCCACCGCAGCGCCCCTTGTTCTCCCCCTCCCATTTCCATGCCACCCGTGGGATCTGATTTGCTTTCAGAAGCATGTGGGAGGGAGGGAAACGAGAACTGGGCTTGGGCAGATCTGGGTGGATGTGGGTGGTGAGAACTGACAGTTCCATGGCTAAGGCTCGTCCCCATTGCTTATCCAGAACGTAAGGATTCCCTGGGTAAAGGAATCTGGGGAAAAATGGGGTGTCCCTAAGAATGGAGGTGGCTGCTCTTGGCCTGCACTGGGCCTTTGGCCAATGTGGGAGGAGAGGCAGCAAAGAAAAGGCCGTCCCTGGGCCTGCCGGAAAGAGAAGTGTTGTCCTTCCTGGATAAACTCAGAGCAGTGGCTTTTTCTTCCTCTGTCATGGTATGGTTTTGGGTTTGACTTTGTCGCTGTAACTACCCTTTCCTAATTGTCATTTATTGTGGCCCAGCCTGCTGTACAACTTGGATTCAAACTGCTCAGTCCTTTACCTAGTAAACCTGTTTCTTATCAAAGTTTGGTCGATTTGTACATGTAACATTTAGAAAATCTCATAGCCAAATATAAAGGAAATCTGGTAAAATGCCAGTGAATCGAGCCAGTTTGTTGATTCGGTGGGTGTACAAAAGATGTCGTGTCCAAGATAATCTGGGATCAGCACTCATGGTAGTTAACCTACTTAGGATCAGCCTAGGAAGACCCAGGATGACACTGTGTGCAACGTAGAATCATTGTGTTAACTAAGTCCAAGGAATTTAGAGATAGCCTTTACCTCCAGTCTCAGAAGAGAGGCAAGTTAATTTTTTTTAAATGCAGTTTTGCCCCAGATAGTATTGTTTTCTGGTTTTTTTTT